CAGGTAGTCCAGATTTGTATTGGCATCAATAAGAATTAATAGCAGGTAAACTGAGGATTTATCAGGAATTTCTACTTTGATATACCCAACTAAGAAGGAAGATAACCCTCAGTTCTTAGTGGGGATTACAAAAAGAGCGTAAATACAAAATGTAACTACTTTAAAATGTTTCGTAAGAAGCCTTCCTCCTTTGGTAAAAGGATTTTTTTAATCTTAAAAATTCATTTGAATGTAGGATTACCAATTCCTTATATATTTTGTGTCCACAATTCTGCTTTATTCATACTGCATATGTGGATTGCTATATAATTTCAGGGAAAACAAACAAACAAACCACCACCATTCTGTTTTCTCTTCTATGTAAGTCTAAATGCTTTCTTTTATCTGTTCCCATATATATCTGCAATGCCATCCTCAAACCACCCTCAGAACAATACAAATAATTGGATTCTGTTCCATTTGCCACTTGTTCCCTTTCCCTAAGGGACAATACAAGAGCACTACAAGAGCTCCAGGGCCATAGTATCTGGCAATAGCTTTAGGTCTCAGGCATAAGAAATCAGGTGGAAAGAACAGCTTTTAAGTCATTCTACAAATTTTAGAAAATTAAACGAATTTTCAGAATTTTCCCTTTCTCATTCTGTTGTTCTGGGCTCACACTGCCATTCTTTTGCCTTTGCAACTGCAAACCCTGCTGCTCTTGGCGTGACAAATTCTTACAGAAGGCACCGTAATGAGCACAAGACTTGCGCTTACCAGTTTTGATGTTCAGTTTAGCTTTGAACTAAGCAGGGAATGACAAAGTAGGTAATGACAAAGTAGGTAACAGTTATTTAGAGAAACGTGATACAACAACATAACCCCCAACCAGTCAGTGTGCAACATCTGCTCCTGGTTACTGCATGCTCCATTTATTGTCATCTATATCATTGTATCACTATCACTAATATTATCAAGCAGGAAGGTCTTACAGACAACTACTTTTACTATGGGAAAATTATCACAGGAGTGATTATCGCTGCCAGCTGCACTGGGATCCAGGCTGGACATTTGTTTCAGATATTGTCACTTCCCTTCTTGTCTGGCCATAGGGGAGAGCTCGTTCACTTCCCTCTCCCTTTTCTCTCCACCTCCCACACCCTTTTCTCTCCTTTTCTTTTCCTTGTAAATTATTTTCTACCATACCTCTGAATATTTGTGTACATCAACAACCCCTTCTACACCTCACTGTAGTTTTCCCGTTTGTTTTTCTAAGTTGCAGTTTTTCTAGTTGCAATTCATGTCAGTTTTCTTGTCCTAACATCTGAGAAGGGTGTAGCTACATATTTTCCTCACTCTGTGGATATTTCTATAATTAAATAAGTACATCTACTGCTATTCCAATTGCCTTTACAATTATTATTATTATTATTTTAATCAGAAGAAAAATAGTTCAGTCTTCTGGAAATTATAGCCCAGAAACAAAATTACTGAACTAAGTCCAACTTCAAGAAGATAACTAAATGCTAGTGTATATGTCTCAGGTTACTGTGATCTTGATAACTTTGTCCAGGGAGTTCAGCTATAGCATTCGTAGAGAACAATGAGATGATAAAAGTTTTCAGAGCTCCAAGTGTCCACCTCCATATCTGGCCATTCTTTGAATTGACACTCTTCTTGGCCATTGTGTTATTTTAAATTTATTTTTAGGTTTATATATTTAAAAATGAATGAACATAAAATGCCTTCTATTAGATGAGGTGATGGTAACATTTGTGTACATATAAACAATTACTGTACCTGATTTCAGAGAGAAACCACAGAGTAAGACATGGTTAATGCCTAACTTTTTAACTTTGAACACGCCTGCATTGTATAAAATCCAACACTTCTTTCCTTACTGTTTAAACAAAAATATATCTGATGTTATTCTAAGTAAGTTCTGTCCATTATGCAGTTCAAAATTACCATTCATTGATGTAGAAATGATTGAGAAATGTTATTATTTAGGAAAGGAGGAAGAAAAATATTATTAATAGATATCTAATAATACACAAGCAGTAGCTAAGCTGATTTACTAAAAAGAACAGTGCCCTCCTGTAACTGCAATATGCTATGACCCTAGCAATAAACACAGCAGTTGCTTAGAGGGGCAGCAACTTGACAGTATGGACTCATCATAGTGGGAGCCAAAAGCTACCATTAGGATTGTTGTTTTGAGGCTCAAACTGACCCCCTGCATAGCTTTGATCACATTCATTTCTTTCTATTTCAGTTACCCAACACAGCTTTCAGCTCCAAACATTTCTTAAAACACAAAATATTTCTTAAAATACCATCAGTTACAAAACCTGGGAGCACTGCATAAGTGCAGCCTCGTACTACTGAAATATTAGCATGAATGCCTCCAGAAATGCATCCTATATTTTTAATGTGGAACAAATTTGAGGCAGACTGAATTATTGGCATTAAAATACAAAACCTATGCACATGCATTTCATGTGGAATTTCTCATATGGAACCAACAGCCATCAGAGAGATAAAATGAAATTATTACCCTAAACATGCAGAGGTTATTCTCAGCCAAGTAGAGAAGCCAACCCAGCAATGGTACAGTTGAAACCATTTATTGAAAAGAACTACAGACAAGGAGGAATCTTAAGTTATAACCACTCTCTGAACCATGAGTGAAAAGGAGATGGTTGAGCCCAAGAATGCTAAATCAGGAAGTGCTTGTGGTTAAAAACAGAAGCAACCACATGAATCAGAGGTTTTAGGAGACAGCTAAACGACTGATTGAAAAAAATAAAAAAAATCAAAGAACAGAAAAAAATAAGGAGGATTAAAAGGCTCCAAAAGATCTGTATGTGCTTGAATCTGATTTCAGGAGAAATGTAAAACCAAAGTAACTAAAGATTTAGACATCCTTTAACATAAAAACTTTCTTGTCATTTAAAAAAAAAATACATCTCAATTTGGTCTAATTCCACCATCTGGAAGCTCTCTCTTAAACAAACAAGTTTCCTTTTTCTTTCTTTCTTATTTTTTTTCTCTCTACTCACCCACAAAAAGATCTCATAATGACAAACTGCCTTACATAATGCCATAGAGACTCTCTGAGCAACCTGTAATGCTCCTGTCACATGGTAACAAGAATTTAGTACAAGTATGAAAATCAGTAATATTTTAATATTAAGCAAAAGAGAAGTAGCTTTAATTATCCTACATATGTTTGCATTGAATATGAAAGAAAATATTTCCTGCATATAAAACATGTTGTGATACTGAGGAAATTATGGGTCTAAATCCTAAACTGTTGTCTCACCTCTTACCTTCTACTGAATGAACTTTTTTATCCTAAACCTTTCCTTACGTGCTGTGAAGGAAAACAACACCAAACAGAACACGATTCTAATCTGACCTTTCCATCAGTACAGCACAAACAATCCACAACACCTTTTGTCTGGAAGTAGATCAAAGCCCTTAGAAGTACTGTTAATTTGTGGGAACATAACACATCTGCAGATGATTAAAGAGATGCTGCCACTTACTATTTGAAATGAAGAATTTGCTGCTCATACTTTAAAGAGCTCTTTCCTTTCAATCCAATCAGTAAGTCTAAAGGTCTTTAAAAGCGTTTGAATGGCTTGGGAGGAGGGAGTCCCATGCCAAAAGATGGAGAACTCCAGCTTTGAAGCTGCAAGCATATGCACCGTGTTGATTTTTACATCTAGTTTGCTCTGCTAATAAGTGAGGAAATGAGAATTGCCCACTTTTATATGAAACTGACCTCTGTTTGGCTGTAAGACAAATTGCAGTTTGGGTTTCTCGTTCCTTTTTTTTTAGTTAATTTATTGAATAAATTTGTTGGGAATGGGAGGGAGCATGATGGCAAAACAAGATCTCCTCTACATCAGCTTGATTTTCTGAAGAGAAAAAGTACGAGGATTTTGCTATAAGAACGGACAAACTCTAGAACAACATCTCAGGGAGTCTGGAAGTTGTTCTAGTGCTGAAGAATGATTTCTGGTCTGTGTGATACCTGCAGGAATAGGCGTAGCTATGACAGAGAGAGGGAACTCAACTGCTTCTTTCAAAAAATGCAGACATCCTTGCATAGATCTCTCTGCACAATGATAATGTAGATCTAGAGTAGAGGTGGGGTTGGATTATTGATTGCTAAGGTCTTTGCCACTATCTCTCCGTGGAGATACGGCTTGTTCTAACAAGTAGCACATCAGCAGAGGAGATATAATAACAGCGATCCAGAACCAAGCCAGAATTGGACTATAAATAATTTTGGGGTGGTGGAAGTCCCTAGAAAAATTTTGGGCTCAATGAAATATAGCGTATTATTGTATGCTTTTATTCCCTGTGACAAATATTCTTGGTTCATTTTCAACAATATAGATGAGAGACACAAAACAAACATAGGTAAGAGAACAAACTATTTTTCTATCACAGAATTTCTTCCTTTTCTTAAAATAGGAAATAAATGAAATGTGTCAAGAAAGAAAATAATTCAATTTTACAGACTAATACAATTAAGCTAAAATCTATGGTCTTAGGAAAGTGAATGCAACACAATTGTTATATTTGCATTTCATGACCACAGATTTTAACATGTAATTAGCAACCTGAAGGACAATTTTATCAAAACTCAGGGGTAACTCATTTCAGATTACCAGAACCATAGCAGACATAACCAGAATCAGCTTAGCAGCTCTGCTCTACTTAAGGATATCTTAACTCAAGGATAGACATTTCAAAGCAACTTTGGAAAATTTTGGCCTTAAATACCAGAAAATATCTAAGAAATTGAATATATATCTGTCAAAGGTATTTACTTAAGGGACAGACCATTTACTTTTATTTTCAGCTTGACATGGCTTAACATCTACTAGCTAACGTGTAAATAAAAATGCTAAAATCAATAAAAATAGAAGAAAAATATAATCTTATCTATTATTTGTATTTAACACTGTCTTTGCATTTAAACTGTCTTTTTCCCTCTATTACAGTGATTCGAGCAAAAATATCCAGTGAAAAGGTGGTTCCTGCCAGTGATGATCCTCTCGATACCCACAAAATGATCCGGTATGAAATCAAACAAATAAAGGTACATGGAATCACTCAGCTAAATTTGAAGTTCAATACTGATAACCTCTGTATATTGCTACAATTTAGTTCCAAATGCTTAAAGCTGGAAAAGGATCCAACTGGTTTCAAGGATGGACGTAGGTGAACTACTCAGGATTAAGAGCAGGGTTGAAAAAAAAAAAAAAAAAGGAAAAAAAAAGAGATAAGAATATCAGAGAAGCACCTACTTGCTAAATGAGCATATTTTTAAACAATTTTTCTTATTCAAAATTGCTTTATGAAGGCTATATGAAAATGTACTTAAATTTATGAGTATTCACTGCATTTGCTTATTTTCTGGCCACTTATGTTGCATTATGGTATTGCAACTCTGACTGGCTGAAACAAACTTTCCGAGCACAGGAAAGCATTTCCGGCTGAAATAGAAAGGGCTTTTCACTAGCGAATACGGACATATGCAGAAGCAGAATTCCTTCCCTGCTATTCACTGAAGAATCAATTTGTGTGAATGCTGCTAAGAGAGTAAATGGGAGTGCACAAAATAAAATGATTGAGAATCTCGTAGGATTTTTCCCTTTGTTTTTTTTAGCTCCAGTAAGGGAATGCTTTCATTAATGTTCTTTATCTATCATATTGTATAATCTTTTTAATTGTTTCTAACGATTTTAAAGAGATATAAGGCTGTGTAATGTTACAGAAGTGCTAGCAAAACTAAATGCACGTCAACATCTTACTGTTCAAAAATCACCATTAGGTTTAGTAGAGTTCTTCCAGTTATTTAGTTCTGTGATGAAGAATTTGTCATTTTCACAGAACCTGCGGAGATTACATTTTATTTCAACTGTAAATTGGGAGAATATTCCTTTTATATTATTCACTGGGCAATTTGACATGTAGCGTTAGCACGACTGTTTTGTGCTATTACGGTTATCAAACATACATTCCTGCTATTTTAAAACCAATATTTTTGGCTTAGAATTAAAGGATAAGTATTTCTGGACAGAAATATTCAGTATGATTTTGTTATTCATTTTCAGAAATACTAAAAATGAACACTGATGGCTTTATTCATTTCTTATATGTGAGGTGGCCTGTTTAAAAGCCACACATATTTTCAATTTATTTCATTTTCTTCCATGGTGATAATATTTACAGCATTACATTAAACTGAGAAGAAAATACATGATTTATATGCAGGCTGAATATCTGTTTTCATAGCATTATTATTGACCTTGTAATCGTGTGTATTCTGTGAAGCCACCTGAATATAAAAACAGCACTATTGGAGTTAGCAATATTTTGTCCTATGTTATCATAGTGAAGTAATGCCCAAGATATCAATGTTCTACATGAAATCAACACCTTTTACCAAGTGAAACTGGTATATATGCACAGTTACTACACATGTTCCACACAACTGACATGGATGCAATCCCTCTGAAAGAATTAAGTTGACTTCATGTACAGAAGGGCAGGGTCTGTGCACAGTGGGAGCATGAGATGGTGTTTGAGCTGGTAACTAAACATAACAATATGTATACTTCATAGCTATGCATTGTTTGAAAGCTAGGAAAATAAGCCCTCATATGGCTGAAAAGCCTCAGAAAACAAAGAAGATAGAAGAGTGTAATTGTTGTAATGGAAACATGTCTCAGATCCTGAAAGTAACACAAAGTCTTTTAAGAAAGTATTCTAAAATCTTAAAGCAATAGCAGTGTACTGATCTGTTACATACCTCAGCAGGACACTGCCAGTATCCATACAAACTAGTTATTAAGTACACATCTTCCTGTTCTATTCCTCTGCGTATTTTTCTTCAATAAAGTCCTACCAGAACATCAGATGTAAATGCATTATATCACAAGGTAGAACTTGGTCAAGCCATCCTAGGCATTTACTCAGAAAGCATCCACACTTTCAGAAGTTGGGAGAAAATGACACAGAAGATCAAATACAATTTACTGAACTAAACAGAAGGGTCAAAACTTAAATGGTTTAACAAATCTTAAAACCAGAAATCAATCAGAGCTGGAATATCATAGACAAAAGTAACAAGCAGATAGCCTGATGAGGGCTTCTGTGTATAATATACCTCAAATAAGGTGGATTTAAGTGTATGCAAGGGATTCCAATTCCAAAGGTGACAGGAATTAAAGACTTTTATGGGGAGTGAGGAAGGCCTGGGGCTCCAATTGTAGCTCTGCTTTAGCTCTGAGGCAGATTCCCTGCAGCACATGACCCGTTTCTGCTTCTTTATCTTGTTGAGAAGATCGTTTACATTTGGCTTCTATCTAATGAAAGTAAGCACACTATCCATCATCATTACATACATTTTCTATTACTTTCACTGTAGCTCTGTGCAGGATGCTGTGGTTTTTTTGTTTGTTTTTGTTTGTTTTTAGCTGCTATTCTGGATTTTTTTTTCTTTTGATTATGTTTTCTTCTTTTACTAAGTATTTCAAAAGAGTGCCTAATGTTTTTGGACGGGAAGAGCAATGACAACCCCTTTGACTATTTTTATCATTCTGTAAAAAAGGCTTCAAAAAACCCTAACATATTACTGTGCGTTTTGTAGCACTCTGTACTATTTAAATCTCCTGAGAGAAATTGAGTAATATGAACATATTTTCCAGGGACACCAGCTGCAACAGAGAGAGCTTGCCCATGAGAGCTGTGAACCTTGCAATTGTCCACAGCTGTCAACACACAGCATGATGTAACGAAACGGGGCCCACGGAGTGCTGGGGCTTCAGTTATGTCATACTCGGTGATGACAGGCATTCTGAAGTTGATTAGCATCTTACGGTTCCTTCTCACATTTAGAAATAAATAATTTTGTTTCTGTCTTTTAATGGCTCTCTTAGTCATAACTGGAATTGTTGATTAGGGAGCAGACAATCTGACCACTGCATGGGCTTTAGTTCTGAACCTATCCATGTTGGTGCTGCAGGACTGAAATTCTAAGAGCTAGCTCCCATTTTCTAACAGTTCTTAGAGAAGGTTGCGTTGGGCAAAATTATCAACTGGATGTGGAAAAACGGTATTCTTTACTGACAGAATATAGGAAAAGTGCTCCATTTCCTAGCACGTTTTATGTTCTTGAATTTGCACACCATTACGCTGATCAAGATAAGATCTTCCATGCAGTAATTTTTTCATCTTTAAAGATTCAACACTGCAGCACTTTGTTTAAGATGAGTGCTGTGTCTCTTTTATTCCATTTAATGAGAGATGTGAGTAGAATATCATGTGAAGAGAAAGCTTTAGAGAGCCATTTAAAACACTCAGAAAATCAGATTTTGAAATGATTTTTTTTTTAAGGCCTAATATCCTTCTAAAATAACAGACAATTCATTTTATGTGGAGATGGGGCCTAATGGTTGGTATTTTCTCATAGAAATTCAAACTTCAGAGCCTTTTTTTCCAAAAGATGCACCATATAATTATTTCAGCTGTTGCTTGCAATGGTTTTTCATGTTTCTTTTCCCCCCTCTGACTTAAACTTTCTGATAATTTTCAGATGTTTAAAGGATTTGAAAAGCTCAAGGATGTCCAATATGTCTATACTCCCTTTGATTCATCACTCTGTGGAGTGAAACTAGAAGCAAACAACAAAAAACAGTACCTTTTGACAGGTAAAACACAATAAAACTAATGTACGTATTAAAAAAAAAAGTAACTGCTCAATGTCAAATTTCACCAACTTTGAAAAAAAAAACCTATAAATTTCTGTGCTAATTAATACAAAAAGAATTAAATGGGCAAGCTGTATAAAGCTGTAGTTAATGTGCGATCTTACATGTTTTCCATCCTTTATCTGAAGATCTTAAAACAGTTTCAGAGGAAGTTGAAGCCAGTAACTATGCAGTTAGTAAATAGGAGCTATGCATCACCATCATTATTCATTTAAAAGCAACAGTACCAGTTTTCCTATGAATGCAAATGTACTTAGTGAGACAACCCATACCTACATTATGCCACATTTGGTGTTGTAACTGCAGATTTATACCTATAGAGTCCTGTAATCTTGTCCAAGATATTAGATCATTTACATCCATCCCTTGTTTGCAGATTATCAGCATCTTTTGAGAAATGTCCTTGTTAAATCTTTAGCATCTATTCAGGAGGATAACTGTGACATTTTAAATAAAATTCACTGAAAGAACTGTGAAGTATGAATTTGGTGCATTTAGTTACAAACTTTCAACTTCAATTTAGTTCAATATTTAGAAAATAGTTTCATTTGCTTGCCTTATTTTCCTTATTTCCCATGCTGTAGGCCAGATTTTAAATGACGGTAAAGTCCTCATCCATTTATGCAACTACATTGAACCATGGGATGATTTATCCTTGTCTCAAAAGAAGAGTCTTAATCAGAGATATCAAATGGGCTGTGGCTGCAAAGTAAGTATAGAACAAAATACTCCTTAGTGGTGGAGCTCACCTTTCAGGAAAGAGCATTTTTCACTGGTGGAATACACCACGTATTTTACTGTTCTTTTAGAAACTTTCAATTTACTGAATTAATGTACTGTTTCACGTTTAGATTACTACCTGCTACATGGTGCCCTGCTCAATCACTGCACCAAATGAGTGCCTCTGGACAGACTGGCTGATAGAAAGAAAGCTATACGGGCACCAAGCCAAGCATTACGCCTGTATCAAGAGAAGTGATGGCACTTGCAGCTGGTACCGAGGTGGCCCTCCCCCAGAGAAAGAGTTTATTGACATCAGCGAACCTTAAAGTGATCACTTCCTAAAAAGCCTTGGAGTCTAATTCCATCAAAAATTGCACGCTCACAGCTTTGAACTGCTATCGTCTAATGTATCCACTGCTTAGAAACAAAAACAAATTGTCCTGTAAAGCTAAAGTACGAGTCTTTGGAATTGGCACTCAGGCAAGAAGAGGAACAAATCTCCCTGGAGATAGCTACTCCTTAAGTCCTGCTTTGTACAGAGAGGCTCAAACTGAGAATGCTGCTCTGTGTTTTATAAGGCATAACAAGTTTCCTTTTTTTACCAATATGAATGTATGAGAACATAAGAATGGTCAGAAATCTGTCCCTATTTCTGCTAACCTACAGATGGAAAGAGCTCCACATTTTGTTTCAAATCATTCTGATGAACTAATGAATGTCTTATAGAACTATTTTTTTCCCATATGAAAGTCTTCTGATACAAAAGAATTACTGTACAGTGTATATGTAAAGTATTTTAACAATCTGCTATAAAAGATTCAAAAATCCTTGTTTTCTCCTTACCTTTTCAAACAAGTTGAACACTTTTGTGATTAAAACAATCTATGCTCCACATTGTTTGTTAATTATGTCACAGATTTCTTTAACTACCGAGTTGTAACATTCACTGATAATTAAGTTAAAACACAAACTCAATAATCAAAATCCCAATATCCAACTCAATATTCTACAAGGTGTAGCTAGTCCATAGGAAAGTAAAGGCAGATGTTCTAATGCTTCAGCATTGTATGGAATCAACACAAATAAGAACAGGTGAAAACTGCTTACACGTTTACAGAAACCACGTCCATCATCACTGCAGCTGTAGTAATTAATAGTGCCTCTCTAATTATGTGACTAGAGCAATTTATTTCAGCACTGTTAAAGCTTTGGCTTCAGAAACTCACATGAAAGTAAATGCACAAATATTTAATAACATACACTGCAAGAGATTTCTAAAAAGCTCTCAAATATTTGACCATATTTAATTATAAATTAAATTTACATTAATGTTTTTTCATTCATGAATGTTCATTGTAATCTGTCATAATGAGCTTGGCAACTTGTGATCTTATCCTAGAGTTACAATAGTTTGCCTTCAATTTTTGGGGGGGCTTTAACTATTAAGAACTGATTGCTGTAGTTAGTAGCCATTCTCACACATACATAAGTTTACGAAAGCATCTCAATTCACAGTGGTAAAACTGCAGAAGTTATGTCATTCAGAGCCAAAGTTTAGACCGCTGTTCAAGCAGTGCTCGTGTTCTAGAAACTGGATGAGAACCATGATCCATGTTATGCATCCTACGTTTTAGTCTAATTTTCTTTACTGGGTTTCTTGAAAATCATTCCTATTTTGCCTAAGGATTACCCTCTCATATTACTCAAATAGGAATTTAGAACTGCAAACATTGCAAAACCAACAGGAACACTCAGCATTATTCCTTTGAGGGAGAGTTGCCTATGTCCCTTAGTAGGGACATAAATGTTGCCTGTCATTTTTATTTACAGTCCTAAATTAAAACATCATACATTTGTGTTGCCAAATACAACGCCGATTTAGTTTTCTGTTTTGCTGAAGCCAAACAAAAAATTACCAGTTGGGCAGTTTCAGCCACTGACACACGTGTGCACACAACTACTTACCTAAGGGAAATATGAAGGCCACCCCTCTTCCGACTGATAGTGCAAAGACAACATTGGCAGTGCTAATTGCTGCCAGTGCTGTGCATTTATATTAACAGTTCACAGACAGATTGGAAAAAAGAGAAAAAAACAACAACAAAAAAACCAGGCATAAATTCTTCCTGTCAAGCCAAAACAATTCATAGACAAGTCTGGAAAAGAACCTCAATAACTATACAAGGTCCAAATCAAGCACATGGCTAGTTAATATTTCACACATGGACAGTATAGCATTTGTTTCCTAAAGTATTTTGATGTAATGGTGCATTTTGAATATCACTCAGCAGAAAACAGATAATTTCTGCTTTTAAATGAAACATAGTTCTATTTCTTTTTCAGTTTTATAGTAAGTAGACCTTAAACTGAACTAACCAAACTCTCATTGTCTTCTTTGTAGACATTGTAAAAATAAATGTTTTCCTTGGTATTTATGAACAAACTATAACATGAATTGTATGTTATAATGAGTTTTTAAAATGTTTTATATTTGATCTGCCATAAAGTATCCAATATGAAGTATTTCAAAATTACTGGCTGTCCAGTTTGATTTCTGTCTGAACTGAAATCTTGCCACACTTCCCATAATGGATGATAAAAAAGATGTTGGTTTTTTTTCATATCAATAAATATTTCAAGAAAAGATTTTAAGAAAACCAAACCCTCTCAAAATGATTTCTTATTTTCCCTGAAAAGCTGATAAAGATTACGAAAAACATTAAATAGTGCTGATTTTTGGATGTTACTTTTCTAGATACAGATTTATTTTTCACAGCAGTGGCATTGGTACATGTTGTTAGGAAGGTCAGAGCAGAAATACAACCTGGTACAACATTCTATTTTAATTTGAAAATGACTCATGTGACTTATAATTAGAGAAAAGATCAGGTGAATGCTGAAAAAATAAAATCCTTAAATATTGATGTTTTTTTTTCTTTTGACACAATGTTTTAGTTAAGTTTTATTAAAATGCCCAGCAATTAGAGTGAAGAATTTTTTTCCTGATATAACATAGGAGGTGGGAATGTAGTGAAATAAAGAGAACCTCATTAATGAGGGAAAGGCTGTAAATATGACTCAACTAGCAATGAGTTCAGAAAGCTTTACAGCATTTTGTATAGTCTAATCAATTTGAGATGAATGTTTCTGTTTCAAGAAGTGTTTCTTTAAAGCAGCTCCAGTTTTACACAAAAGAATGGCATCTTTGTTTATTTACCTTTTACTGCTGCCTGAAGACTCAGTACAAACGATCACCAGAGAATGAAAGAAACAAAAAAAACAGAAGCACAACTGGCAGCTCAGCCAAAAACTCAATTCACAGATCCACAGTTTTCCCCTGCTCTCCCCCTTACCCCTCAGTGGGTTGAAGTGGATGAAAGGAACTCTAGCTTGTGATTCGGGGGATAAGACATGAACGAATGAGCACAAAAGGAACTACAAAAAGTTAAACAGTAAAAATTAAATTCTATAAAAGTAAATGCAAACAAGGCAGGTCACAAATAGTGTTAAAAATAAAAATTCAAATAGCATATTATTTCAATTTATTAACTAAGAAACTAAAGATATCAAAATTGTTTTACCACCTATTTTAGAAATTCAAATAAAAATGCTATCTAATATGATGCTGCCTGATTATTTTTCAAGTCACAAAGTTCCCAGAATTTCATCAGAAGGCAAAACCACACAAATGATCTTCAGCATAATCATATATTACAGCATATTTGAATGACATACAGCAAGGCAATGCCGAAGCAGAGAATAATTTTTCAGATTAATATTCATTGCATAGAAAAACATGTAAAAAATTTACTCAAATGGGGAGAGTAGGGGCATTCAAAAGTTTGAATAAAAGACAAATAACTTATCAGTTCAGATATTAATAAGCAACATAGAGGAAAAAAATTACCCAAAGGGAAGGAAAAGGGAAAAAACATCCCAACATTTTTCATACTCTGTTAAACAAGCAAAATTTCAGTTCAATTAGTTGTTTAAAAATAGTGTGAATTACCTCTATCAAATAGTGTTATTGTGCTTTTGGTATCTGTTGCAGTTTCTACTGAATTAAATAGGAGGCATTACATTCAGAGTTTCTTAGTAAAACTAAGAAATACCGTAAAAGGTCTGTTTTTTCAATAGGACAATGACTTGTAGCTGATAAAATAATGAAGAACAATTACTTTTGTGCAGGAAATTACAGAAAAGCATTAATTTGCCATTCTAAGAATAATAGGAGACATAAAATGTATAGCATTAAAGAAAGAAAACATATTGCAAAACAAAAGAGGTGGTTCTATTTCTCTACCTACTACTAATATATCCCCAAGACATAAAAATATACATTTTATGAAACTTTTTCCTGACAAATCCATCAACAGAAACATCTTTCAATTCCCAAATTATCGCCTATGCAGAATTAGATCTGCTGCTCCATATCAGTAACCATTCTCCTTTGACTCCACAAAACTTCTGTATAGCAGATTTCCTAAGTACATATGTGTAGCAATGGTTCTTGTCCTCAGTGTCTTATACAATAAAATAGTAACATCTGTGAGTCAATAGTCCAAAGGGACTAGAGAGGAGAACTGGATAAGTTCTGAAGTGCCATCTGTGATGACAGAGTCCTATCAAAATGGACGAAGCAATCACAGCCTGAGGACCTTAAATAAACAGCTAACTAATGCATTTATCAGGAATACACTCAGGAAAGAATTTCTGTTTAGAAAACCATGAAAAGAATACAGATGTGTCCAATGTAAGATGTGTTTTCTCTAGGTTATGTGCATTCTGCATATGCAGGCACAAAAATAATCACAGTTGCACGTTCACCAGCAAGTTGGAAACTGTGCTTACATCCTGCCAGACCAGTTTCAAGAGAACAGTCACACTGATGCACCCTCTTCCAATCTATCTTCAAAAACAACTTGGAGGACATAGGAAACTACTTCCATCTAAAGATCAAAAATTTGTAGGGTAATTTTATTTTAGGAAAATGTTAAGTGAAGATCACAAGTGTCACTTTAATGAACACCTTTCTATGTGTAAAGGGCTGGAAATCAAACAATGTCAGCTCAGGTACATGAACACGTAAGTCACAAACACCCTAATTTTAGGTATGTTCAAAGTTCTACAGTTGTAGGCAGATCATCCAGATAAATAATGAACTCTTCAAACATATGTTAAAGAATTAGTTTGAAGCAAAACATAAAAGTAACCCCCGTACTTTAATAGTTCTGTGTTTTTACAGCCATTTAATCTCTTGAAGTCTGAGGCTGATTAGTTGAAAAAATGTTAGCTTGTTAGTTCTAACATCTTCTTCATTTAGCCACCACAATGCTTTCAAGTGATCACCACATCTCATCCCTCTGACAGCTACCAAAATAGCTTTTAAAATAGATGGATCACGTGTGTTTACAGTCACTGTTTAACAGACAGTTAACTAATGCAGTACTGGTACTTGTACATACCATTTCCTTGTGGTTTGGATAGAACGTTTGCTCAATTAACGGGAACTTCTCCGGACCCAGAGTTTTGTAGACAGACACCAGCTGGGCAAACTGTAAAGCAAGGCAAAACAGAATCTCAGGAGACCAACCACATTCTGCTGAAGGGTTCTTATACCATCGCTTTGCTTTTAGTCTTCTGTGTTTCATAAACTCAGCATAAAATACACAAATAACATCTAATTTCTCTCACTTCTACACATCTTTTTAATCCGCCCAAGCTATGACATCTTATATAGAGAAAAAAAGAACAGTACCTTTAAGAGTTAACCCTCACACCTACATGAAATGAAATAAATTGGAATACTGATTTCAGACACCTCATATTCTGCATATTTTAAGCTGACTTTGTGATGAAGTCATTATGATACTGCATTTCCTACCATCTTCAATCCAAAGATAAAATATATTTCACTTTAATTTACCTTCTGGCACTTCAATGACACTGAAAGGCGATTTTGCAAAATTGTAAAGCAGAGAAAAGCAATAACTAACTGTGTCATATACAAGTCAGATGAAGAGGAAACGAGCATTTTAATTTCCTAGGCTCTAGCCATGCACCTTAGCCACATAGCCATTCTTCCACTGTCTTCAATCAACAGTGATGCTGATAATTTAAACAGTTACGCGTTATTGGCTCTTCTATTAACTTTTTCTCTCTGGGCCCTTTCCTCAGTGCATATCCACTCTATCTATAATGTAGATAGTAGTAAAAACACAAAAAGCCAAGAAATATTTAAACACAAAAATGCAATCTTTTATTAAATAGAAACACATTTAAGGGCTGTTCTGTTTAGTGAGCAGATCAGCTCTTCTGCTCTAACAGTCCAAAAACCCAAATCTCTTGAAATTACAGCTTAGCAAATGAGGTTTCTAGGGAGCAAGATGACTTTGGCAGTCAGAAGACCACTATTGTTTCAAGACTCCAAAGCTCTGGCTTGTACATGCCCATGATGTGTTTAGTTGTCATTATGCCAACATGAGACATAAACAAATTAGCACAACAGTTTGAATAGTGGGATTTGCTGGTTACAAACAGGAAAAAAGCAAAGAACAATACAAGTCTGTCTGTGATGCGGTATGATCAAATGCTCTGTTAATGCAATTGAGGGTGAAGGGATAGTAAAAACCATTTAAAGGGGAAAAAAAATGATGAAAGCTTTGCATTGCATATCCAGCTGGCATAAAAAATTTGTTTAATTTAGTGGTGTTTACTTAGGTTTGGTAAAACACATATTTAAATTTTGAAGACCAGTGGAAAATACCTTAACGATGAATAGTTTTCACCAGAAACCTAAAAAATCCTAGTTGGATATGTGCTGTAGAAAAAAGACCTCAAGGAAAGGAAATATTATCACAGCTACCAAAATAAGGTGGTTTGTGAATAGAATTCCTGGCAACTTACTATTTATTCCTGTCCTTATCCAAGATCCAAATTTAAAATTTCATGATGAAATACTGTCTATTAAATACATGATTTTAGCCAAACCATTATGTTAAAATAAGTCATTTAGTAATAAATCTTTATGTAAAGTTCTTTTAAAAAAATTATTTGTAGGATTTCCTGTAATTCTTTCCTGATTTTTTTCCCCATTTCTACTGAAAGATGGTGAGAAAAATGACACTCTTTGTGGAGATAATGACATTCATTCAAAACATAAGAAAACTGCATTTCATATCAATGCTGACAAATGTTTACTTGCTTAAAATAGTACTAACCACACGTAATACACATGTATCACTCTGAAGTACATATAATCTAGTAGTTAAGCTATGGAATAGCACACAGGAAAACTAGGTTTAAATTTCCTGAGGCAGAGAATATGAACGAAGTCAGACACCCCACAGAATTGGGGGCTGATTTATTCCTATTCCCTACTGGATCTCTGCTTCACTCACGTCTACACTTTTAGGAATTTCTTGTTGAACTTTATCCCTAAAAAAGTGATCTGATAAACTCAACCCAAATTCACATAACAGTTCTGGCATTTTAATTGTACATCCATAAACTACTGATTGTTTTCCGTACTTTCCTTGAATTCTGGACAATTCATGAAAAACAAAATTAACAAGAAGTTCATTAAAACAGAATAGCAATTAAATGTGATCTAGACTACATTTTCTATATTTTTCTTTTGAGCAGTTAAACCAAAAATTTAAAAAAAACATCAGCTACACAGATTGAATCAAATTACCACTTCTGAAAATCCTGCTCTACCTGGGTATTTGAGAAGATGCACAGAGCTTACAAATACATTGAACATGGATAGCACGTGGCACCTCTTCTGCTTTTCTACCTAGACTGGGTACTAGTCTAGAACCTGCTGGGAACTGCAGTAACAATTCTGATTAGACTTGTTTGTAGGCCTTACCCAAGTAAGACGGGAAAAAAACCAATCTGTGCTAAAATGACCTAATTATTGCTCTGTCTATAAAGTTTTGAAAGTGTTTCAATTTACTGCACTAACTAGTCTGACCTTAAATTATGTCTTCAAATCACAGTAAGGCTTATTACATGCTTACCTGGGCAAGAGCAAACTATTTCTAGACTATAAGCTACTGAATCAATACCTAATCCCATGGTGAACGTTCTCTGGTATGGGATGAACAGAGAACACTGGCAGAGCTACATGGTATGTATATAAAGCATTTTGTAGGCATATCAAAAGTCCTGTAAGTTTTTAATGGTTATAAAACAAAATAACTTCAAAGAACATTTCAGCAGGAGTCTTTGGAGATGGTGCCTCTCAAAAAGAACAGGATAAAATCACTTTTTCTCCTCTCCAATAAAGCATGACAGATAAGAAGAAATAATAAATCAAAAAGATTGTGACTTTTTGACTTGATAGGAAAGCTTTATGGGATTTTGTTACACTAAGAATAGAATCCCATAAATTTGACTGCATTTAGTGCATTCTATCAGTGAATGGCTGAAAAAAGTCACTTGGTTAATCTCAAAGATCTGAACAATGATTTGCTTATTGCTTTACATGAGTTCAAACACGTTTAATTACAATCATCTCATCCCTGAAACAGTCATACGTTTTTTCCTCAACAAACTGCACACCTTCCCTTTAAAAAATTAATTAGCTATGATGGTGCTTTGTGTCACCTTTAATTACAGCAAGTTTGTAGTCTCCCTTTTCCGAAAGAATGATATGTTGCACCATTGTCCATTCTAGTGGAGAGTGTCGTGGTACGTTGAATAAAATTTTGATGCAACAAACTACTTCACATTTGCCTGTAAAATTGTTCCCTTCTAGGGTAGTGTCTCTTGCCTACATACTATAAGACCAGTTTTGTCAGAGATTTTCCTTTTTGTGTGTGTTCACTACCTATGCCCTTTAGAATTTAAGGCTGGCTTCAACTGACAGTGGAATAAGTCCAACTGCCCATTAATACTGCATGGTAACAAATGGTCTCACGACTGCCTGGACTCTAAACCAGGTGAGCTGACATTCCCCAGCAGTAGAGAAACAAGTTTTAAAAAAAAGTTGATCATTATGTTGCCAAAAAAACATCGCTTTGAGATTTACCTTATCTTTGACTGCTGAGATGTGAGCATTTTATTCTTGCATTCCCACATGAAAATTTGCCCTTTCACAAATAAAAATGAAATGCATATCAGTGTTTGTGGGTGAAGCTGCTGAAGTAAAATTTTTAAAGTTTCTAACATAATTTCAGTACTCATTATTTCTGAGAGCTTTCTTTGAACATATATTTCTTAAAAGCAGATGATGAACAACAGTTGGAAGATTGGACTGTGTTAATCAAATGTTGCAACGCATTGACTTCTTTTAACCCTTTTCAGATCCCACCCTGAAAAGTGCTCTGATGAAGGAAAACCGTTTTTAGGCTGCGGCTTGTAAGTCTGGACCTTCAAGGAAAAAAAAGGCTGCCTTGTAAGAGTAAGAAACATTCAAAAGCACAAACACTCAGCATCATTAGTGCAAAGATAGCAGACCTATGGAAGGCAGCAGACTGAGTGACAAATACTTGTAAGCCCTTCAGTGGGAAAGGAAATCAAGTGATTGTGTGGAAGGGTACATTTGACATACACACTGTGTGGGAGTGAATTTAACCAAGATTTTTCATCATCCCTTATTTTTACAGTTCCTGCATTTGCTGGTATTGGCTTTTTTTTTACTTCTCCTACTACCTGAGCAATATCTGTGTTACTCTTTTTTTGTCATAATACTGGTTCTTTGCTGTGATTCAGCTACACTGTATCAAGTACGTAAGTACTTTTCCAGAAGGCATTTACACATTTGATGAGTTGATACCTACAATGAGAATCACAGAGAACAGACAGCAGACTTCAGCTGTAACTTCAGTACTTTCTGTCAGTAGAATATGACAGACAACTTAATGAAAGTATTCAAACTTTCAAAGTCAATTCAGAGCTTGACGTGGTAACTTAACAGTGAAACACTGCCTACAAATTAGTTTGGGCACATTAACAGAATACAGATAACAGGAAGAATTGGGCACATTAACAGAATACAGAATACAGGGAGCTGACAGAAGATCTTGATGTTCCTGCAGTCGTTTTCCTTTATTACTATGCAAAGCCAAATAACACAGTTGGACTGCGAATGGAAAGATAAGTTACAGGGAACTTTCATCATAATTAAAGCAGTAATTTTATAACACAAACTGAATTGCTTCCCAATCTTTTTCGGGTCCAGCCTCACACGAGAACATTGATGCTGATCACCAAGTTGAGCTGCCCTTCCACACAAGTTTTAATTCAAGTCCTGCTGCTCAGCCCATTACTCGGGGACTAACATCTTGTTCTTTCCTCCACTTCACCCTTGACAGCAGCTGCAATCTCCTCAGCTCCTTCATCTTCAACTCCCTCCTTACCCACTGGAATGTCTATCTGCACCTACTGAGATGAAGGTGTTGAGTTTTTTTGTTGAGCCTGTGTGGATCGTTGTTTATCCTTCCCAGAAAGATCTGAGCATCTCTGCTTCATGTTATCAGAATTTCCACAGGCATTTATTTGATATCTCTAGCTTTCCTGCAGTACAAATATATCTCCTCTCACTTCA